CACCCTCCCACATGCCCTTCCAGGGGTGGGCAAACTTTTTGACTCGAGGGCCACAATGGGTTCTTAAACTGGACCGGAGGGCCGGAACAAAAGCATGGATGGAGTGTTTGTATGAACTAATATAAATTCAAAGTAAACATCATTACATAAAAGGGTACGGTCTTTTTTTTCAATAGTTTTATTCATTTCAAATGGGCCGGATCCGGCCCACGGGCCGTAGTTTGCCCACGGCTGGTCTAGGCCCACGTCCCCCATGTGTGTCATTCCCTTGACCCTCTCAGGACAGAGAAGGCCTGGATGTTGTGCTCACCTCCCAGGGGCTGTGGGCCTCTCACCAGCCTCAGGGTGCCCAGCTCACATGCTTCTCATCAAAATGTCCTCCATCCTTACCTGCCCACCCTACCTGCCCTGCCCCAATAGCATGGCTCGTTCTGTTTCTTAATGCAACCCAGAGTATCTTCCAAAGGGCTGGGGGAGCAGGGGGAGCAGGGGGAGCAGGTTCGGGGACCCAGGGCCGGGAAGGAGACGGGGAAGACCCGGGGCCTGGAGGCTCCGTGTGAAACAGAAACGGGAAACCCTGGGGAGGGCGGGGCGGTGAGCGGGCGGAGGAGGGCCCAGCCCGGTGAACCCGCTGGCGGAGAGGAAAAACCGGTTGCGGTTGAGGGCTGGGGAGGAGAAAGGGTTGGACAGACACGGGACAGGTGGAGGCCGAAGCCAGAGGCTATCGAACAGTCTCTACTGCAGGGCTCCATCCAAATACAATGGAGCCATGTGCACTCTTCAAGTTTCTAGCAGCCACATTGTAAGAGGTGAAAAGGGAACAGGGGAAATTCATTTTGATAATATAATTTAGCCCGGTGGGTCAGAAATACTGTTGCAACATATAATCCGTATAAAGTACATGCTTAGTGAGGTGTTTACGCTGTTGTTTGCACTGCATCTTCACAACCTGGTTGCATTTTACATCGCATCTCCATCTGGACCAGCAGCACGGCAGGTCCTCATAGCCACAGGTGGCCAGTGCCTTCTACACTGGAGAGGCAGGGAGGTGGTGGTGGGGAGGCAGACCACGAGCCCAGCCCTTCACCCAGCCACTCTGCTGGTGATTGGTGGCCTCCCGGCCACAGGTACCGGGCCACTGCCCTCCAGACTTCAATGCCACTTCCTGCCCCTGTGAGGTGTGCAGGATCCTGGGCCTGGCCCAGAAGCAGCAGCTGGAGGGCGAGAGAGAGGGGCCTAAGTGAGGGCCAGGAGAGTGTGGGGAGGGTGGCACAGGCTCCACCCCACCAAGCTCCCCTTTCACAGGCTGTGGGAGTGCACTGTGCCCTGGGCTTTGGCCGCACGGGCACCATGCTGGCCTGTTACCTGGTGAAGGAGCAGGGCCTGGCTGCTGGAGACGCCATCGCTGAAATCCGGCGGCTTCGACCCGGCTCAATCGAGACATACGAGCAGGAGAAGGCGGTCTTCCAGTTCTACCAGCGAACTAAATAGGGGCCCCAGCGCCCTTCTTCCAGGCCCGCTGCCTGACCAGGGCGTCAGAGGGGCCAGAGCTGTGGGAGTGGACTGAAGCCTCCAGCTCCCAGCCTGCTCACCAGACGGACGTCGCCCTTCCTGCTGGCAGGTTCTGATTGGAGGGATGTCTGGAGCTGCACTGATGGGGGGGGGGTCCCTCTTCTGCCTCCTTGAATAAATAACTTATAAGAACCAGTCCTGTTGCCCAGCGCTTTACAGTTTACATAGCACTTCTACATGTCAACTTAGCTTGAGCCTTACCGTAGCCCTAGGATGTCGGATAGGCATTGTGGAGGAGGTGGCTGAAGCTCAGAGTTTCAAGGTTGCACTTCTAGAAAGTGGGAGGATGGGCCAGGACGACAGCACACATTTTCAGCCTCTTAAAGATGCTGAAACTCTATGAAGCTATTATCTGATAGGTCTTCTGGAGAGCTGGTCAGCGAGAAAGGCACAAATCCCCCAAAGCCCAGAATCGCTCACAGGG